TACATACATACATACATACATACATACATACATACATACATACATACATACATACATACATACATACATATATATATACATACATATATATATATATACATACATACATACATACATACATACATACATACATACATACATACATACATACATACATACATACATACATACATACATACATACATACATAAATACATATATACATACATACATATATATAAATATACAGCGTAGGTAGAGTTCGAGTTCCGGCGAGGTATGGACTAAAGCTATTGTTTTGTTTGTGAACGGCTTTACAGGATCGTGAACTGTTGAGGAGGATCACTGCATTCAGTGCCGAAATGCCGTTGTCGCTGGCGGTGCCCAATTCGACCGACATCGACAGTCTACAGCGCAGTAGCTTCGGCGGACAGTTGGCTGAGTAAGTGCTCGTGTACACTTCTGCAGTGTGTGCGAACCTTTCGTTTTTTGTCTCAAAGGACACCAGCTGGTATTGTATGATACTCTAACGCATGCCTGTTTCTCCTCGCTTGTTTTGTAAACCCCATCCGTGATCGTGCGCTCATTTGCTGAATGGCTTCCTGAACCACACAGCGGTGATCCAAGTAATCGCAATGCATCCGACAAAACAAAATGTATTCAAATCCTCGGGGCCCAAAATGAAGCGCTCATTAAGGTAAGGTTTCAGACCTTGGAATGGGAGTGCCAGGCTACTATATCACGTGTATTGTGAGTGTTCTTTAAGGTAAGGTTTCAGGCCTTGGAATGGGAGTACCAGGCTACTATATCACGTGTATTGTGTGTGTTCATTAAGGAAGGTTTCCGATCTTGGAATGGGAGTACCAGGCTACTATATCACGTGTCTTGTGTGTGTTCATTAAGGTAAGGTTTCAGACCTTGGAATGGGAGTACCAGGCTACTATATCACGTGTATTGTGTTTGCTCGAGGGTTCTCAACGAATGATTGATACACTCGGGGGGGGGGGGTTACGGTACAATACACCTGTTTCATGTGCTTTTGTATATTTATATCGTTCCCTCATCAAGTTTAGAATGTACTCAGTGCATGAGCCTGAATGTGTGTTGGCAAAATGCTGTCGAGATATCAGCCCTTGTTGTGACATGTATTACAATCGGGCTACAAGGTGCTCTTGCGATTTCAGATCTCTAAATCTGTCGATAAGTTTATACCTATGTATACGATATATACAGTCGAAAGCTCTGTACTATGCACATTAGATAGTATAGACAATTAACCAACTAGTAAGTTCTGTGTATGCTTCACTTTTTAAGCGTCATCTCTTACAACATGTATCTTTTCCCTGGGTTTTGTTCTGTTTTCGCAGACTGTTATCAGTTACAATCGTCGCCGTTCCTGCTCATTGCCTCCTACGTCTCATATATCACGTAATGCTTGATGTTTACGTAGAAGCCTAAGTGTTTTATATTGGCTTATTCCACTGCGTTGCCTTTGTTATGCCACCCTGTCTATCTATATACACGCTCCTGACGCCATCCAGCACGCTGGAATGTTATATGGTCTGAACACACACACTATACTTGGCATGTAGGCATATAATAATCTATCCAAATTGAAAATTTTATAATTATCCATAAACTTGATGCTCATACAACCTTGCGTCTGTGCATGCATCTGACCCGTCCCATAATAATTTATCCAAATTGAAATAAATATAATTATCCCTATACTTGATGCTCATACAACCTTGCGTCTGTGCATGCATCTGACCCGTCCCATAGCACTTCACACACGTCACACAAAGCTTCCTGGCGCCATTGGAGAAGTACTTCGCATCGCTCATTCCGTTACAAAAGAAAGTAACGGCGTGGCGACCCATCCCCAAAATCCAAAACTTCAATAAACGTGATGTGCTGAAACTGATAGCCACAGCAGAGCCACACGGTAAGCCTTTCTCCTGGCAAGACACGCGAGCATGTATCCCTCAGTAGTGTGGTGAACTGTACGTTTCTACACAACTAGGGATCTGCGTATGTCACCACTATCCGATATGCTGTATATAGAAATGTACCCAGGTGTCGTTCAGGAAAAAAGCGGCAGTGACCGAGTGTTTCAATGATGGGGAAGCCTGCTCATTCCTAATCAACCGCCCACTCTGCTCTAGTAGGGTAAACATGTAGCTTGACTACATATTCATACAAGATACCAGTATGTAATGCCTTTGCTGTTCATGACTTTCTAATCAACTTATGTTCATGATGTCTGCTACAGGGCTGACGCTGACCCGCAATGCTGATATAGTCGCCTTGTACAGTGAGTTCATGGCCTGCCCCAATTTTGATCGATGGCTGAAAACAAAGGTGAAGCGGGCCAACGAGGCAATGTGGACGTACTACATATCACAACTTGAGACCGCCGATGTGACTGAGTTTATGACGGGCCACAGCGAGGTGTGTGCATTCATTTTCACAAATTTAGTGCATCGTGTATTGCGTACAAAGTTAAATTGCGTAGAAAGCTCTTGCATGCCGCCAATAACGAGAGTGCAGGAAGTCATATATCGTTTTTGTAGTCCTCACGCCTTGTTGCCTTCCGATACTTCCGCCCCAGATCGAAGCCGTGGATTTAATATTAAGGCTGAAGGAGATGTCTGAAATGCGCAATGAGTTGATAACTGATAATGTAGTAAAATTAATGAGAGGTCATGCTGAGACTATTGAGGAGGGGCTGCCAGATGATTTGAGGCAGTCGATAGTGCACCGATAAGTAGCCATGGATTAGTAGGTTTTTTATAAAATAGAATGAATATAGGTGAATGAATAATGATTAAAATGAATGATGTGAATCAGGGTTGAAGACTTCGGAACAGCACACTTAGGTAGTCTCGCTCTTGTAATTGCGCATCTAGATAAATTGGTATATTCGATACATACGGGAGACCACATTTGATCACTTATTTTGTTGTATGGTCCTTGTGTTATTGCCAACGAGATGTATATGAAAACAATCGAAATCGTTATTAATTTTCTTGATACTAATTTGGTACATTTTTGATAAGGTGAGTCCGTTCTCCGGGCAGCATATTGTAGTCACATCCCACAAGATATTAGTGTAGCACTAATTTGTCTAGGAAATACAGCGAAGTAATCGTTTAGCCAGCGATATGATTCTTTTAATGAAACAGGTGCTTTCTTATGTCAAATCTAGTCATATATTAAGTAGTCGATTAACCGCCTACACTTTAAAGGTGACGCACACGTGAAGTCAGCCAAGCACTCGCCGATAACGAAGATAGACTACACCTCTAGAGCATATCATATAAAATGTGTATCTGTTGGTCCTCGGTATGTTTTATCAATGTCTAACGATCTTTTACAGTTTGCGTAAGATCCCTACGTGTGCTGTCTCCCGTGAATATAGGGCTATTCACACATAACGTCGATTCATTCAGGATCACTTAACGTATGCACCTCGCTTTATGTGACCTTGTACGTAGCCGGTCGCCAGGAATATGTGAGGGGCACTAAAAAATAAAATACAATTATCCACCATATAAGAGAAATACTATTAAGCTACTGCATGGTAGACCAGTAGATATTACACGTAACTCACGAGAATAGTTACCTTCAGTACTTATTATTCAGTATTCATTGATTACTATAGCACTTGGTAACAGGCAGAACAGTACTGGTGACATCACAGCGAACAATAGATGGCTTTGGCAGCCTGCACGCGGGTTCCAAATTGATTTTTCAGGCACTAGTATTTCGTAGCTGTTAAGTATCACTAGCGCGAGTTAAAAGTGTATTCAAGTAATAATTTCCCGTAATTAGCATACAGAGTACTTTCGCAACCCAGGCACGAAATATAAAATTCGCCCGACGCCTTAATACAAAACACCCGCACAGCAAGAAAGTGATTCACCCCACGCATGAATACTTGGTGCCGTATTAGTCCACTAGTCGCACTTCACTGTATGATTGCTTTCTTATAATCTAATATTTAAGCCGTCAGCTCTTTACTCGTATATGATCGGTCTTTACTGTATGCTTAAATTCTTCTTGATGGGAGGTTCGGTAGCTAGTAGTACACGGTCAGATCAGGCACGGAGGTGCCAAATTATCGCCTCAATGTCAATTGACTTGACGAACTTGTGCCTTTTGCTTGAAGGACGAAAATTGATCCGTTGTGATTGGGTTCGTTTGATTCTGTCTGCACTTCCATCTCTGCGGAGTAAGGTACAATCCGACCGTGCGAGATTATGTACTTAGCTTGGACCTACAATGGGCGCATGCTTATTTAAGGTATGTTTATGCTCGATCGGTCGGTCGTGTCACATTCACATTTAGGGCTTTTAAACATAATGCCACTTGATATATTTAATAGCGGGGCTTCACTATTTGCATAGAAAACATTTTGTCTAACCATGTGTCACTATATGCCTGGTGAGCTGTACTTCCTATTTATGGGATCCTAACATGAAATTTAATTTATGGGATATCAGGAGTTTGTTACTCACTAGAGTAGCCACTACAGTTGGTCATGTATTTCTTGGCACGTCCACGATATGTTACTGTACTAAGATAGGAGTGCAGAATAGCTCTACGGAGTTAGCGGTATCCCGCCAGGTCAGTCCTCAAATCAGCAGTCGCACACGAACGAACTGATGATGATGGACTGCGGTAAATCACTACATTTGGCGAAATGAGTGCTAGACGATAAATACACCATACAGTACTTCAATGAAACAGTAGTACCTCGACGTGATAAGAATCTAGACAATGTAAAAAATAGGTACAATACGAGAGATCTTCTTATCTACATAACATTGAGATTGTGAAAATCACAGCATATCAACTTTGTTTATTCCTTTCAAGTTTTATATTCGTCCGTTATTGTTGGCTTTCTTGTTGTAAAGCTTTTTAAAAAATACCATACGTTTCAGTCTGTCTTCAATTCATATTTAATCACTACTATGGTCGTTGTTCGATCTTCGATTCCGTTCTTGTTCTGCACCAAATAAACACAGTATGTACTAGCTTATTGTTTTCCGAGTAAATTAAAAACGTCTTTCTGTGCGCAAACAGTATTTATACCCACATCAATCAGTCAGCAGCGCTGGAAAGTGAAGTTAAATTCCACTATCGTTCTGTTGTGACAATGCACAATATATATCAGGATATTTCTCCCAAAGTAGAAGCAAACATCGTTCAGCGAATAGCAGTCTCAACCGGTTTGCGGCGCAAAAAAAATGGTTGGGCTAAATACATCAGTGTTGCAAAATTACAACCTCCCGCCCCATCCTCCACTATGTGCCTCAGTTCGAATATCAATTCAGTTTATGTCGGTCACATAATTATATACTTTTAGTAGATGTATGCTTCTAGCAAATCCACTGATGTGAAACTCGACTTGCAGTATGAACCTGAAATCGGAAAACAACAGCATGTTAGATGAAACAAGGATTCCGACATTCCTCGCATATGTTGTTACTAGCAAGCTGCGCTGATTTACATTGTCAGGCTCCGATTAGATACAAGTTTATCATGTTTTTCTTTACCCATCTTCGTTTTCAGTGCCCGTAAGTTCGAGCCAGAAACCCTCGTCATTGAACTACAAATTTTCACTTCACCTTCACTTCAGTTATGGGTCTATATTTTACCTTGAGGATAACGCGGGAAAGTTATCGGTAGTTAAATGTCTGCTTGTGCGACCGTATTCTACAAAGAAGCCAGCTCTGGGACTCTTCCCGAGACACTTTGCTGCGGCGGTGTAGTTGTTGGCAGAAGTTGGCGTATATAGATACTTGGCCATCACCTGAATAGATCTGATTGGGCTTCAATTCAAACTATGTTTTAAATCGTGCATAGCCCAGTCTACTCAAATGTATCGCTTTCCCAACGCAGAACTATTGGATGTAAGGAGCAAAAGAAATAAATCAATATATACGTAATAATAATAAACATTTATCTATTTATCAAAGGAGCGAATGCAAGTATAACTCGTACTTGGTGTGCAAAACAATAAGCTGTTCATCGTTTCTTGCGCCCACCCCAAATCGCATGGTGCGTTGCCACGGGTCACATAGCCATGCAAATATTACTCACCAACAGATTGGCAGTGTACTGAAGCTGGCTCAATGGACACAACACAAGGCCAAAGTTACAAAGGCTGTATATTTGATGTGAAGTGGATTATGGACTAAAATTTTATTCTAGTTCCTTACACTTTAAAACGAACCATGCGCCTCTCCATTGCACAAGTTAAAATAACGCATTTCGGTCCTGTGTACTTTCTTTAGGTTTTGTATTTTTGGGTGAATAGGAGTACGATGTTTTACGATTTAAAAATTCACAACACACATCCGGTGTACTTCATTGTTCTTGCAATGGTGCGACAATCAGAAAGTCCAAACTCTTCACCGATCAAATCGAGTGAATTTGAAAAATCTTCAGAGTTCGAAAAGAAAAATGCTACTGAATATCGTATTTAGTTATATATACATTGATCTTCTTTCATATCTCACATTGTGCAGTGCGGACTACCTTGCTGGATCGGGTATATAATATGCATTTAATATCATACACCTAAACTAAAGATCCCTTCAGAACAACATGTTTTGGGAAGAACACGAATGATATTAATGTCACCATATATAAGTTGGTCATTTGTACCTTGCGTTCCTTCCAATATTCTAGTGCCTGTATTTATTGATAGATCCATCTCCTGTTTTTTTATTGTCGCTGCCTTTCCCTTACCGACAGTCACTTCTACAAATTTGGTTTCTTCGACAGATAAACTATTCCATATTACTAACTCGACAGCTATCTTCTTTTTCATAGCGATCACGAAGTCCTGTTGTTTGTAGGGTGTAAACCTGCTTTGAGTCGATACGCCAGACGTGCCTGAGCGTCTACGTTCAGTCAATCTTCCTCGTTTGCTTTAATGTAGAGTATGGAGAGTGGCTGAAAGGTACGAGACAATAGGATACAATAGACCTCTTCTCAAGTACGATTATCTCAGCTAGGAAAAGTCCCTAGTCTGAGAAAACCGAATTGAGTCTTTATTTGTGATTTCACTAGACTCAGGGTCTACTTGAGTGTTTCTCTCACACGCGGGAGTCCCGGTATATTTTACCGGTTCTACCTCTAATTTTTCTGATGACTCCGATATCAGAAATATTCCATTATTAATTCCAAAACTCAGTATTTGGATTGGCTTTTTGATATTCTGGTCCCTAGATGCTACAGCCCCCCAACTTTGTGCTTCTTAGCCTGAGTAGGAGTGAAAAGTGACATCTTACAGTACTAGATTGTCTAGAGGTTGGTGCTTGTATTCAAGGAGAAACTTGTCCCTTAGGGGGCATAAGATGAAAAACTTGCCACCATTATCTATTACATTACCGATTAATTAAATTTATACTATAGTAGGAGCCCTCTACCACGCTCATCGGAGCCAGTCTTGACCGGTGCTCTCGGTTGATCTCAACTTGGCTTAGAAAAACGCAAATCGACGGGTGGCTCTACAGCCGAGTTTCTGGACCTTGTCCCTCTGGTAAGGGGGGGGCATGCTTCTGGGCGAGAAAAGTGGGAGTGTCCTGCGGTATCAGTGAGACTTGCTTAGGTCCATCGCCTCGTGCGCTGTCTGTGGCTCGCTGATCTTTCATCAGTGCTCGTCGTCGCTGGCTTCTTTGGCCTGGACTGCCTTCTTTTACGTCTACGGCGTTGACGGTATGTTGTAATGACATTAGCATCTGCGATGTCTGATTCATGCGTCTAGGTACGCTCACCATCTGTCCATTGCAGTAGGTACTCCTGGAATCCATCATCTCGGATGGACGGCCTGTTGTCGACTATCGAAGAGAACTGCGTCTCTTCGTTGGGTTGTACGTGATTGTTGGAAGTAAATGCTTCCTGAGCACTGG